TAGCTGAATATCTTTTAGAAACTCAAAGAGGCCCCTAACTATGCATATCTAATTCATGCAATTATTCAAATGAGTGAGTCTTTGTGGATTGACGTTTGGACTCTGCAGCTTTTGTCACCTAACAGTCGGCTTCATTTCTCCGCTGGTTGCAGCTTTGTTCAAGCTATCACAAACACAAGTCACAAAAGAAGATAAAAAGACACATGCTTCATTAAAAATAATAAATGAATTTAAAGTTAACATTTAAAATAATGCACAATATAACTTAAGGAGTGATATTAAGTGTTAACACGTTTTTCATTTTATCTTGACTTTGAAGTCGCCCATACCTTATTACTTATTTTCATGTTTGATGAAGCTAAAATGAAGGATATAAAACAGTGTGTGTGTGTGTGTGTGTGTGTGTGTGTGTGTGTGTGTGTGTGTGTGTGTGTGTGTGCAGCTGAGCACCAGGTTGAGAGAGTGCGATGACCGTCTGACGGAGGTTCGTAACGACTATCTGCTGTCATTAGCAGCAGTCAACGCCCACCACCAAAACTACTATAAGAACGACCTACCACGTATCATGGAGGTAAAACACACACACCAACACTCACACTGCCACACACACAAACCTGAGGAAAGGAAGCTGCACTGACTGACCACAAAGCTTCTTGAGTTATCGCAGGGTGTTGATGCGTCAGATACTTTTGTCAGGTTTCCTGTTCCTCTGTAAATGTATGATCATCATCACTTCCTCCTTCATGTTAAATTTGTAAACTGCCGCCATCCCCTTGGTTTGTTCTCCTCACAATGTGTTCATCCAAAGAACTCTGAACAACTTAAAGAGACTTTTATTAGAAATGGTAGAAATAACCGTCTTCATTCTTTCAACCTTTAACGTTGTTGTATCTTTTTTCTGACCTGATAGCGCTGCAGCTTGCAGAAAAAAAGTGAAAACAACATTCTTACAAATTCTACGGCTGGCAACACACTGGACGATTTTAGGTGCAATTTTGAGCGCCACGCGTTTATAAAATCAGTTAAGATTAGAAAATGTATTTATTGATTTATTTAAAAAAGGGACATTTATGAACATAAATATGTAAATGTGTCAGATTGTAGCCATAAGCTTCTTTCCATCTGTAGTCCCTCGACAGGTTCACACATATTCAAATGTACATAAAACCACAATAACAAGTAATGACCGAACAACAACATAAACTGTACAGACTGTCAGAGACACATTACATGTAATACAAGCAGAAAAAGTGGCTGTGTGATGAGTATAAGTATTAAGTAGTATAAAGTGACTGTCAGAGTTAAAGTGTGGCTACAAGAGGTAAAGTGTTGGAGTAAAGTGTTGCTGATTTACATCTAATTCAATAATTTGTTGAAACAGTGTTACCGAAACAGCCCTGAATGCTGCGCTGATTAAATGTTCTTTGATTCCTGAGGATTTAAATGATTGAAAATAAGTGGAATTGAAAAACCTTTATTTAAATGTTTTGCAATAAAACCAAAAGAATTAATCCAGATAAGAATAATCAACATTTGTATCTGGATTCTGCAATCCAGGATCATGAATCCAGCCGCATTTGTCCTTTTTTAAGAGTGATCAAATTGATAGCGGACCCTCTGGAAAGAGCTGATTAGTTTTGGGACTTTATTAGATAGGACAGTGATTAGAGTTTGAAATCAGGAAGAGAGAGAGAGAGAGTGGGGAATGACATGCGGGAAAGGAGCCTCTGGTCGGACTATATTCCGCTTTGAGGAGTATAGCCTCCATACGACCTAACCGTTATGCCGTATGCGCCCCCTACTGACAAGTTTTAAACACAAACGTTTAACCTGATGATAAAAAAGTGGATTGGATAACCTGATCCATTCTGATTCTTTACTTCTTTTGAACAACATGATTTCAAGTCGGGGCTCCAGATGGAAAAGATACTTTTTAATTTGCAGGACTGTAGTCGGGGTACATTAGGTGGTGTGGACGTTGGTGCTCAACAGCACAAATCTCCAATATGTAAATCTTGTCACACTTTATTGGATTAACAGTAGTGTTTCACTGTTGTTTCTTCTTCACCTCATCAGCTCATGGACGGGGATGTTTATGACGACCTGAGGAGCCATTTGTCTCTGCTGTGTGGGACAGAGATGGACTCCTGTCTGAACACACACAAACAGTACAGCCGGATATGGGAGACTGTCACTAAGGTACATATATGTGCATACAGTGGGTTTTTTTTTTACCTGGACACTTTTTTTCATACTCTTTTGGGGGTCTAAATGACTCGTAGTAGCATGAAGCACACATATTTTAGGAGCTTTGTTTTAAGATATATAAATAGTTAAAACTGCTTAAAAAGACAGTATTAATCCAAACCTTTTCTTAACAGTCTGACTTCTCTACATGCTAAATCTCCCACGGTTGCTCCTGAGAAATGCAGACTGAAGACATTTGTCACTCCGTCTCTAAGCGGCGGGGGAAGGGGGGGGAGTGTTTTTACAGGGAGGCTGACAGACAGAGAGAAATAAGGAAGGCACCAAAGAAAGGAAATACAGAAAAGACAAAAAGGTCAAGGGAAATAAAAATGTTCCAATGTGAGGAAAAAGAGATACGAAAGATGATTTTATTTTTTTTAATGGGAAAAAGATGTTGGAATTGTTATAAGTGTTTGAAAAGGGAGAGAAATTCAACACACACACGAAATGTTTGAACTGATGTTGCATCTGAGTGAAATCTGCGGGAGGACATGACAGAAGATGTTCCGTTCAAAACTGTGAGTGGGTAGAAACCATTGGGCAAACCATGTGGGCATGCCAAAAAAATGAGGTGTGATTCAAGACGCTGTTCTCAACTTTCAGAAGCTTGTAGCAAATATCTCCCAGGCAGCCTTCTACCATCTCAGAAACCTATCCAGAGTTTGATGTTTCATGTCACAGTCGGACTCTAAAAGCTGGTTCATGCTTTCACCTCCAGTAGACTTGACTACTGCAATGCACTTTTTACTGGAGTTACAGAACAGGTGCTACTTAAACTCCAGCTCGTTCATGGTAAATGGTAAATAGACTTGAGCCTGTATAGTTCTTTTCTAGTCTTCCAGCTACTCAGAGCACTTTTAAACCACAGGTCACAGCTACACATTCACACACTGATGGCAGAGGCTGCTGTGTAAAGTGACCATCAGAAGTAACTAATCCATTCATACACATTCATATATCGCCAACGAAGCGGCGGGAGCAACTTGGGGTTAAGTGTCTTGCTCAAGGACACATTGGACATGTGGCTGCAGGAGCTGGGGATCGAACCCCCAAACTACTCTACCACTGATCCATAGCAATCCGTATCTTGCACTTTATCAAGGAAACTTCATTTCTATTTAAATGTATTTTTCCTACTACTTTTTATTGTGTAACCATTCCAGTGTGTGCTTTTTTTCTTGTGTTTTGTATCATGTTTTAATTTTGAAGAACATAGAGTCAATTCATGTCATATGCACCTTGCTAAATTAATAAATACATTTTATGTTGTTAATGTTTGAATGGGGAAGCGTGGAATGGATGTTCGGATTGGTTTTACGATTACCGCTGAGTGTTTTTCACGTTTTCAGGTGACCAGAGAGAGGAACGTGCTGCAGTTTCTGCAGGAATCTGTCTCCTTCAGCCAAACACCAGAGTTCACCTTCCAGCCAGCTCCGTGTGACAAGGTGTGTCTGTGTGAGTGAATTCAAAATGTAGATATAAAGGCATGGGTGTCTATTTTTGCATCTATCATGTTAAAGACAACACAACTTTGACATATGCTTTTTGATCTTCCCTCAAGAATAACCAAAGACACATTAAACATTTAGTAGAAGCTGTAGTTTATCTTATGCTGGACTTAAACCAAACGATCAGAAAGTCTGAAAAAAGTCATGAGAGTTTTTATAGACTTGGCACACACTCAGGGGTCTCGGTCTTTTGGTGTAAGGTGGTGATGAAACTCTATCCAACCCGTTTTAAGGCCGTATGTTACTGGGCTTTGCATTATGAGATGATGAATAAAATGTTATTATGTTTAATATTACTGCAGGTCTTTAGTCTTGTCTAGGCAAATTGTGTTGTTCAATGACAACAACCAATAAGAGCGGTCTCACCAGCAGCTAACAGGAAGCTGCAAACTCGTAAACATGGCCTCCTCGTTATACAGCGATAGATGGAAGAAGGAAAAAAGGGAGATAGGAATTCCTGCGGCCCTCGAAATTCCCCAAAAAGCAAACTCACTGTTAATGATCTTTACACAGGTTCATCTGCAGAAACCTTTTTACTTACAATCTGAGGCTCTCTTTCATTTTTAACATTCTCTGATTATGAAGTCCGTTTTTGTGCTTTGTACATTTTCAGTGCAGTTAAAAGATTAAGTAATCATCAGAATTTAAGTACATGTGAATTGATACATAAAACATTGCATTGTTCAAAGTAATCACATTGATTTACAATCATTATAGCTCTCTTCTGTCACCAAGGATCTATAAGATAATTAATATGTGTATTTAGTAAGTTCTAATTCATCTTCACAGACGTGTGCTTTATTGTCTTCTTGTGATTTAGAAGATGCATGATGACACATGTAACGCTCAGGGCTGTTAACAGAGGGATGTTTGTCCGTCTCTGTGCAGGTTTCTGCTCTGCAGGAGGTTTCTGCTCCACAAACGGAGGGCTTTCTGATTAAAGAGGCCAAGAAATGGGCTGCCAAGGCTGCAAAAGACTACAAGATCATAACACACGGAGAGCGGGTGAGACATGAGGATCAGTACATCTGTGCTGGATAATATGTTTTCAGATATCTTTTTAAAAAATGTTGTTGTGATTTTCAATATTCAAGCTTTTAAAATGATGAGTTAGATACAGACTGAGCAGTGGAAAGTTTATTTATTTTCTCTATTCTCATCCAGTAAAGGTAGTTCTTGACATTCTTTACATTATTGTAGTTAGTGATAAAAGTGTTGTTTCTTTTCTGTATTTTAATGTGTGTCTGTGCTCGTCTGTCAGGCTCTGCAGACGTTAGAGAGTCGTCTGAAGCTCCTGTCGGGGGAGACGGGGCTCAGCGTGGAGCAGAGGATAGCAGAGGTGCAGGACAGCGTCAGGAAAGCAAAGGTGCCTCTGTGTGAATGCTTTCATAATCGTTAACATTCAACACCCAAACGCTCCTCTTCTGTTTCAAAGAGGAAATCAACTCCTAAGAAATTAAAAAGGAAAGATGAACTAAACCACTGATTACTTTTAATTACTGAAAGCCAGAACACCTTTCCACATCTGAAAAATGTCATTGCTGTCACTTAAAGAACGATGAAGCGAGTATCATTTTGCACCACTGTCTGCACTCTCTCAAGGTCTTATTCCCACAGTCCAAAGACATGCTCGTTAGGTTAATTGGTGACTTTAAATTGCCCTTACAGTAGATGTGAGTGTGGCTGGGTGTCTGTCTCTATATGTCGGCCCTGTGATTGACTGGTGAACAGTCCTGGATGTACCGTGCCTCTCGCCCACACACCGATGTATTTTTTTAGGTTCTAATTTGACATCACACATTTGGCAGAATGTGTGATGTCTCTCTTGCTTACTTCCTGTCTCAGCTCAGCAGGGTGAAGGCTGAGGCCCGTCTCGCCCTGTTATCAGAAAGCGTCCAAGGAATCGAGCTGTGGCTTCACAACGCCATGAACCAGGCGGACGAGGAGCTGGAGAGAGAGAGGCGCCTGAGTGAGCAGAGGAAGTCTACAGAGGACTTTTCAGTATGCACACACACACACAGACACACACACAGACACACACACACAGACACACACACACACACACACACACACACACACACACACACACACACACACACACACACACACACACACACACACACACACACACACAGATAACTCGCCTACTTAAACTCCTAATTCCTGTGAATCTCTTCGAAGCACGGATCAGAGCACTCACACCAGTCAAACGACCTGGACTTTAGGGGTGAAGAGTGCTTAGCCACGGTACAAACTGCCGGGAGGATCTAGACTTTGACTCAAGTCATGAAGATGTTTTCTTTGTCCACCACTGATCAGAAGTAAAAGCCCCCAAGGAATCAACTTCTCTATAATCTTTGTCATAAAAGTATATGATTAGGAGAAAGGGGTATATATATAATAGTGTAACAGCGTATCTTGGGGTGATGTTAGTTACAAGTTCAACCCTTGTATGTCTTGTTGACTTTACAATTACTAGACTAAACTAAAGATGTGGGCAAGCAAAGGCACAGGAACAACTTCTGTGTTCTGTGTCTCTAGCCTTTCTACAAACCATCGACGAGAAGTCCATCCTCTCCGTCTTCTGCCTGCTCCACTTTTTAGAAAATGTGTGCTCAAACAGGCCATTTGGAGATTTTCCCTTCATGACATCACAAAGGGCAGTAACCCCTCCCCCAGGTGGGTGACACTCCCCCAGTTAGGTGTTCGTTCTGCCCTTTCTCCGTAAACAATAAAGCAAGGTGCTTGAAAGCCACCTGAGCCCTTCTAGAGAGGGGCGTGGTCAGACACAACTCATTTGCATTTAAAGGTACAGACACAGAAACAGCCTGTTCTGAGCAGGGCTGAAATAGAGGGGTTTATAGACATGATCAAATACAGGATCAGAGTGGATTTATAACAAGAAACTTCACTTACATGTGGCAAGCTCCGAGACTTATTTAAAGTGGTTGAAAAGGAGGATATGTGATCTTTAAATGTTTGTCTAGTAGCAGTTTAAAACAAATGTTACACTTACAGGAGTACAGGGATTATTTTCATTGGCGGATTTATCCATATTTGGTGCTCCAAGGAGTCAATAATTCAAAGATTAACCACATGCTGATGAAAAAACAGCATTCTACTTAGCATGTGATGAATATCTGACATTTGCTGTGTGTTCTTCAGGAGGAAGAGTTTGAGCTGACAGACTTTGAGGACTACGACGATGAGAACGGAGACATCTTTATAGATCCGGTGTCTGCATCCAGATTGTGTGTTTACCCTGCAGCCTGCAAAGTTATCTACAGCTATCAGGTAGTGTTCAATCAATCAATCAATCAATCAATCAATCAAGTAAGCAAGCCCCCAGCAGTAACAGACGGGTGGCATCAGGCTTTGTCCATTCATATCTCAGAGTGTCTGTGTAGTCACAGTGATGGAAAAGAAAGACACTGCACCTCCTTTGAATGTCTCATTTAAAAAAAACATGTGGCTCCTTTTTCACAAATTCCCAGTTCTCTCGTCACGATTACCTATTCTATTCACTGTCCTATCAAAATAAAAGCTTATTTAAAAAAAGAAGCAGGTTTGTATCCAAACAGGAAGTAAAGTACCCTTAGCTTAAGACTGTACACAAATATACAATTTTAAAAAACTGTTAAAAGTTAATAAAAACTTAAATAACAAAAAATTAAAATATGTTATGTAAAAGCACAACTAATGGAATTTCAAACGTGCCAATAAAAATGCAATTAATCCCGATTAACTATTGAAATTCAGCGATGAATTGCGATTAAAAATGTATCGTAGCCCTAGTTAACATTATTAATGATCATTTTATTCTTTGCTAACAGTAAATATCTATTGACTAAAGTGAATTTAATGTCAATTTACTGTTAAAAGATGTTATAAATTCTTACCAGAATGTTTTGCACAAACATAAATACACACTTCACCAACACATACGTCAACATGTCACCTTGTCACATCTGTGGTGCAGATGTCTTTTGGTTTCAGTTTAAGCAAGTAAAAATAAGTGAAGTGGGCTTAGAAGAGAAACGGTGTGTTGACACTGACAAACGAACAAACAAGGAGGAAGACGCCGAAATCCGTCTCTGCTGGTAGTATTAAGTCCTGCTATGTTTTTTCAGTCTAATGAATGCCAAACACCAAATTATATATTTTTTTAAAAGTCAACTGAACACTAAAACAAGCCATTTTCCTGTCACCACAGAAGCAACCTGATAATCAAATATAGCCATGCCAAGTACCTGCTTTGTTTTCTATTTAACTCTAAATGTGAACATTATTTACACAATGAACATGATGTTGTGATGAAAAGGACTTGCAATAAGAGTTTGAGACCTTAAACTCATCAGAAAAATATTTAGTGACATTAAACAACTACTGTAGGAGGAAAGCTAATTTTTTCAGCTAGACCTCTATATAACTTTACTTTTGTTCAAACCAGTCAAAAGCCCCCTGCTGGTCATTTAAAAGAATGCAGGTTTATGGCATTGTGTTACTGGCTTCACTGTCCTCAGAGGCTACATCCATCTCTTATATACGATCTATAATTTCATCCAGAATTTTAAGTACTGCAGTTGAATAAAGTTGATTTGATCACTTCCTGTAGGCTAGCCAATCAGATGAGCTGTCAATCAAAGAAGGGGAGGAGCTTCAAGTGGTTGAGGATGGAGATGTGGAGGACTGGCTGAAGGTAAACAGCTGCTTGTATCAGGATATCAGTCGTTTTTATCCAGATCCTCGATGTTAGATCTTTGGGACAGTCGGGTTTCCTTTTCCGTTTGTCCATCCAGGTGTGTAACTCATGCGGTCAGGTGGGGTATGTCCCTGAACGTTACGTGAAGTTCCTGTGTCTGCCAGCAGAGGACGCCGCTCAGCTGGACAGTTCTTTTAGCTCCACGTCCTCCAGTGGGAACAGAGAGAGGAGCAGAGGTCAGTGTGAATGTAAACTGCGCCATAAATCATTACTCGTACTAACATTGTATTTGAAACTGTGAATATTGAATCTGTGTCAGGTGTCGCCAGAGCTCTGTACTCCTACCAGGCTCAGAGTGCAGAGGAGCTTTCCTTCCAGGAGGGGGAGCTCATCCACCTGAGATGCTGTCGACACAGAGAGGTGCGTGTTATCTAAGGAAAGCGGCAATCAAACCACTGTTTGAGTGAAGAATCTAAATTGTTTCATATTATTCATAAATCTTAGCACATTGCATGTTTTGTTTTGCAGGTGGATGACGGGTTTTGGGAGGGAGAGCTGAACGGTCGGATCGGTGTTTTCCCTTCATTGGTGGTCGAGCTTGTCCATAATGAAGGGGAGGAGGAGGTGGAGGAGGAAGAGGAAGAGGATGAGGTGTTCACTCATCCTTGTTTCCTGAACAGTCCTTCAGATCATTATTTTTCTTTTATTATAATGTTTAAAATATTTGACCAACTTTAATCTTTTTTTTTCCAGCCTCTCCCCACACCAACCATGCCTCCCTTCTCTCCCCCCATCCCCATCCCTTCTGACCCTGGCTGCAGTTCAACAGTGAGGGCTACGCCCCCTAGCTGTGTGGAGGACAAACAGCAGGGCTTTCCTCCGAGGCTTGCAGAGGGCACAGTGGGTGAGTGAGTGGAGACAATCTTTAACCCAGCCTGAGCTGATTTCTGTTTTTAACAGCGTCCTGATTTTGTTCAGGTGCTGACAGTTGTTTTTTTGTCCCATCAGAGAATGAAGGCAGCAGCCGCAGCTCTCCCGATCTCCTCAGCGGTCGGCTAAAACCAGTAGGTGATGGTTTCTCTGATATTGAGTTTATGTCTGGGCATCATAGAATTGATTGACATCAGCGGGATGAATGATAATTGGTGCACATGAGATTAGTGATTATAACACATCTCTTCCTTCTCTCTGCAATGTTTTAGTGTCGAGCTCCTCCTCCTCCTCCGACGCAGAAGCCCTCACCTCAGCCTTGAGAAGAAGACTTGACTTACAGTCGAGATTCACAGAAATACATCCCATTTTCGGACCAAAGGAACGCCTGTTTTGTGGCTCATATTGTAGCATTGATCACATAAGTTGTATTTATTTGTTAGTATTTTATAGGCAAACAATCAGCTGATTTTTATACATCCACATGTCCAGAGTGGGGGGGAAATGTCTTTATGGGTCCACAACCTCATGATACCATACTTATCATGATACACGTTGATTTTAGATGATGACCGTGTCCGACACAGAATTCACTATAACAGCTGTTTTTTACTGTTCAAAATAACAGCAAAGAAAAAGTTTTAAGGATCCTACAATTTAGAAAACACTTTAAATTCAGCCCTTAGAGATCCTTGATGTTTAACAAAAATATTCTGTTCATAATCCCAGATCAGATAATAAATGCAAATACTATATTCTTTTCTTTTTTTTTTTTTTTAAACTTAGAGTAGCCCTCTCTGAAGTATCTTTTATGATCAAATCATGTTCTGGTTTCACTAGACTACGAGTTCACTTGTATTCAACAATTTAGGGACCACAGTTTCTGTAATTAACCAACGAGTGGGGATTAAATAACGTGACACTCAGCTGCCTGAAGCCGTCATTATTAACTACACTGTACAAGCACAAATATTTACTTTACTAATCTTCATGAAGCAGAAAAGTGCTTTTGTGATCTTCAGAGCTTGTTAAGAAGTTGAGGGACATTATGACTTAAAGGTGACATTTATTGTTGGCTGGTACGGCCCACACTGGCCTTGTGTAATGACCTGAGCTGTTGTTGCTGCTGTCTTGTCTGTGCTGCTCTGATGATTGACCACACGAAGTGTTGAAAATAAAGGCACAGAGAGTCACAGACATTGTGCTGAGTAATATGATTTCTGTTAAATGCAAAGCCCAAACTTCTAACCTTGAACTGCTCACAATTACAATGAAATGTACACGCATGGTGCATTATTTAACTGGCAAGACTTAAATGTCTTTACATGTATTAAAAACGAACTAAAAAAGTGTTTGCAGTACATCCTTTATTTCACAAATTACTACAATGTGTGTGTGATGATAATTCTACGATGGAGGATTAAGGCCACGTAAAAAAAAAAAAAATGTAAATCTTGAGATTAAACTCGTAAATTTACGAGAATAATCTCGTAAATTAACGAGTTCAAGACCAGCCTGCGCAAAATGATGAAAGTAGAACTCTTAAAGTATTTTCCTCTGCAGAAAACTTCCTCCAAGTCAGTGTGGTTCTTTCTTCAGTTTCTTGCAGTATCTTTTCAGGGTGCTGATATTTTATGACAATGTGAAGATGATGATGTGCCAAAAGCATGTGTAGTTTCATATCTGCATAAGTAAAGCCCCAACACAACTATTTGTGTCTGTTATCGGTCTGCCTTGTTAAAGTGTCTCATGCAGAGCCAGTTTGTGTCCTGTTCATCATTTACAGATAAACAAGGTCTTACAAGTTGAAGTGAAAACTTCTCTTGAACTATTTGTTTTTACCGACTACACAAGGAAGTATCCTATTTCCTTATTAGTGAAACCTTTAGGACAAGATGTTCCATGTTTGTCATTTGAGAACAGGATGCTGCAGCTCTTCTGATATAGACTAAAATAACAACTTTATTCTTTTATTCTTTAAAGACTTTAAGAGTTCTACTTTCATCATTTTTGCGCAGGCTGGTCTCGAACTCGTTAATTTATGAGATTAAACTCGTAAATTTCCGACTTTAATCTCGTAAATGTACAACTTTATTCTCGTAAATTTACGACTTTAATCTAGAATTTTTTTTTTTTTTTTTTTTAACGTGGCCCTAATCCTCCATCATAATAATTCACTCTCAACATGTGTGTTTATTTATTTACTGACCAGCAGATGGCGGCACATGATATATGAAGAAGATCATGAGATAAGACCAACTTTAAACAATCACCAAGAGATCCTGAAAATGTGAAATGTACAGTGTTAGTCTGGATAAAGGAACAGCTGAACGCTGTTTAAGAAGATCAACACATTCTGTCATTTTTCAAGAAATGATCCAGGAACTTTGGAAAGCACTTTCCCCCTTTTCTGGGAATTTAGACCCTGGTTTCTGCGATGGATATACACATAGATCCTCAAAAAGTCCCTAATTCCGGCGTAAATTCCCTGCGGTCGAAAGGGGCTTTGCACTGTGAGTAAAACTGGGTCATCAGATGAAAGGCCTCCTGGTCTGTTTCCCATAAAGATCAGGGAACAGAGCTGACCTCTGATCTGTATCTGCTACTCCCTCAGGACCTCCAGCTCCAAAATGCAACGGCCTAAAAAAAAAGAAATCTCAACAACTACAATGACTAAATGAAAGATTACTAAATGAAAAATCATGCTTACAAACCTTTGAGACATTACTAAGTTTAGAACAAATATCCAACTCCATTTACACCCCTTCTAAAATCTGGAATCAGAGAAATTTATAAATATATATCAATATTACTTGTCCTGAATGAAAGAGAATAAACATCTACAATCTTCTTTTATCCCCACTTTTTGTTCCTCTCTCATCCATTGTTATCATGATTTTAAGTTCTTTACCGTTATCTGTTGTTGAATGTTCATAGATGAATAATTATGTAATAAGGACATACCGTAAAAAACATCAGAATAAAAGCCCATCCCAATTTAAGGCCCAGCCCCTTTTACTAGTCTGGTGTTTTTGCACATTTTGACAAATAAAGGCAGCTCTTATTTAGAGGCCATGATGTGCATATAGTGGTGATTATTTGGTGGAGAAAATATATGGAGAAAAAGCAGATCACACAATTAACTTGTTTTTCAGGGTTGTAAGAGATAAGGCAGGTTATCTTGATTTCAGAAGCTGAAACATATTCTAGGAAAAGTGATGGGTGTGCAGGAAATGGTTTTATGTTTACTAGTGGAAGTGTCTGATTATACTAAACCTCCTTCTTATTACTGCTTATTTCAACTCTACATCATCAAGACTGTCTGTACCAAAATAAAAACTTTAGATCTTCTGAAGAAGTGTTACAATCCATATTTACGTAAGAAGTAGGATCCAACAACTTCTAGCTGTAGAAGGGAGCGAAAAAGTATGTTTGGGTTGGTTGTCGTATTAGATGATGGATCGACCCAACACAGAGCAGAAGTTTAGCATTAAATACAACTGGAATACTTTGCACAGAGGCCCTGCTGTTCAACTGGTAATGCACGCAACTGATTGGAGGCCAGTAGGGGGCCCTATAGGGCTGACAACCACTACAGTCGCTCGAAATGTGCAAAAGTTTTCAATGACAGTAGGAAACCTCCCTAAGAGGGCCCCGTCGGAGAAGCACTCACTCTTGCTGTTAAGTGTCCTTGCACTATTCTCACAGGCGCTGCTTGTCAACAGGCAAGGCAGGCAACTGATTGGGGCCCAAGGACAGTAAGGGGCTTCCCAAGGGCAGAGAAACTTAAAACTACAGCAGTGGCTCAAAATGTGCAAATTTTGCAATGACAGTAGGAAATCTCCCTAAACGGGCCCCATCTTACATTACTCACTCATATAATAATAAATGACTAAATGAAGCTTGTCTAAAAAATATCCGCTAAAAACGTGTTGGTGTCAGGTAATTGATAACATAATGGGGATGAATTATGTTTAGAGGGGCCCCCCTGTGAACTTTTTGTCTTGGGCCCCAACAGACTAATCCTGTGAAAACTTCAGTTTGTCATGAATGTCACTGAAGAAAAATAAAGAGCTATCCGTCTAGGGGTGAAACAAGAGGGGGGAAAGAAAACAAGACAGCAGAACTTGGAGCAGATAACGACGGTACAATATAAAAGTAAATGACTTTTATTCAATGTAAAAATAGTTATAGTTCTTTATTGAAGCTTTTACAACATTTTATTGTTCTGAATATTACATTCTTCTATTTAAAACTTTTTCTCAGTTGAGCACATATTTCAAAAGTTTCAATTGAAGTTATTTAAATAAAATCATTTAATAACATTTTTTTTTTTTTTTATCTTATTTAGAGCCCGAGCATCGAAACACTGTGAGGACCCTATCTGAATGTAAATCTTAATTAGCATGTTTTATTTTGAAATTTGAAGGTTTTTAATGTTCTTCATATATATATATATATAAAACTAATGTAACTTTGGAAAAATCTTTAAATTTCACAACATTTTAGTTGCTGTCAGATTATTTATAACATAATGAAGATGAATGCTGGTTGGGGGGGGGGGGGCTCCAGTTTTTGCCTATAGACTCTGGAATCGCCACTACATGCATAACATCACATAAGTGCATTAAGGAATTTATGTGGCACCACTCATGTAACCTCATCAGCGACAAATAACCCACACAAGCACATTAGTAGTTTTCTTATTTTGACCCAAACAACATGACTCATTCTGAAGCCAAAACTGACAGCGAGTTTAAAGAAGAAAAAGAGAAGAGTACATATTGAACTTTGCAACACACTCAAACATAACTTTGTGTTATTACAAATTTAATAAACTGATGATGTTGAAAATGCTCAAAAAGAGACTGTGCTCGTGCTGTTATTGCAGATTCCCAAACTGTGGATGAGATCAGAAGTTGTCACCATATTCTTTAAACATCAGTTATTTATTATTAATACCCTAGATCAGTGCTTCCCAACATTTCAAATTTTGGAGCCCCCACCTCCAACACCCCACGTGACTCAAGGAAAGCTGAGCCCCCCCAGAGCCCAGACAAACAAAAAAAGTTTTAGATTGTTGTCAAAAATAAACATACATTTTAATTGTTTTCATTGATAAAATCCCAACAAAATGGGCCTTCTTACCAGCAGACCTTTGTTTAAACTATCCAGGAAGTGTTTTATCATGATTCTACTTACTGATGACCTCAGAGCAGACCGACCCTCACGACCCCCCTGAGATCTTTGGCGCCCCTTCCCCTTGGACCCCAGGCTTGGAACCAACTGATTGATTGATATCATGATCAAGTGTAATATTGGTGACTATCAGACTTATCAGGTAGGGTGAAAAAATCATCAATTTTTTGACCAAAATAAGCAAAACTAACAATTCCATCAGTGTAAGATATACTTTGGGTTATTTATATCTGCAAAGATTGGATTTCAGTGCCAGTTTTTCCTCAGTTATTCAGCAAGATAAATATATATATAATGACAGGATATAACGGTATATATAATGGCTATTTCTAATGGTGTAGCATTAGTCGTCAGGTAATATTAAATGTTGTGAATTTGGATTGAAATTACTGAAAAAGCAATTCTTGGAGATGAAACTCATGAAAAGAAGCCATTTAAGTGGATTTGGCTCACAAAAGAGCCAACGTTTGTTCAAGTTAAATTCTTGTAGCTTTGGACAAATATTTGCAAATTTATTTATTTAAATTGTAAAGAGACCATGTACAATATTTAAAATCAATGTTGCCATTTGATTGCATTGCACCAGAGTTAGATTAAAGCTTGCAGGCCACAATTTAAAAGAAAGAAAGAAACAAGACCAAAGTTACTTTAATTCTGATCCATCTCCCTCTCGCTTTAACTTTGCCTGCTCGGGACATGACTGCAAACTCCGAGTTTAAGACACCTTCCAAATTTTCATATATCAAAAAAATGAATTGTTGACTCCATTTGAATTCTCTTTACAAATCAGCTAAACAATGCGAGTGAGAATTAAGTGTTTCAATGGTACATGAATTTCAGAATATTTATGTAATCGATGCGTCTCCCTTTGCTTAATTGGCAGCACGAACCAGAGCCTATCAAGACGAAACCTACAATTGTGACTTATGTGAGCATGTGTTTACATTTGCTCCAAAATTCTTATTAGCAAATGATAGATTGGTAAACTCTGGAGATCACCATGGCAACGTCTTTATCAAATCTTAGTTTTGTCAACATTGTTGTCTCATAATGTTCAGACCACATCTTGGCTTATGTGCAGCCTCAGAGCTCAAAGCATGTTTCCATACATTTATCACAAGGAAGAAAAAAAAACGAAAGTCAATACCAGTAAGAGTAAGACATGAAAAAATACAAAACACTAAAGCCAAATAATAATACATCAAGTAAAGTTTGTGTGATTTGTGGTGAAGACACTGCATATCATCTTTAAAATCCAAACGTGGGAGAGTGTCTGATATTTTTACATGAATCAGTCTTGCTGTGACATATTCAGTGCTGTGGTTAAAAGATTAAAGGCAGCTTTTAATTGCTTGAGTTTATTATTACTGCGTGTCATTTTCTATAGTCCACTGAGTGCTGCTTCTTATCCCATAGAACTCTTCTGCTTTTCCATGTGAGACTCACAACCTCAGTCCTGTTTCAATTCAACGTTTGACACCTTCTCCTCTGCACATTGTCCGTCCCCTTCCTGAGTCACTTTGCAGTCTCTTATATCTTCCATCTCCATCATATCATCCCTGTCTTGGCTCACTGTTAGCCTAACCTCTGCTCCAGAAGTCTCTCCAATTTTTCTGTCAGGTTCTCCAACACCTTGAACTGCAACCTGTCTCTCCTGGTCGACTGCTGGACGACGTTCCAAATTTTCTGATTCGACACCAAGTTCAGAAGTCTCTCTTTCCTTCTCCTTCGTTGAGGATTCTTCCCTCTCCTCCATGGTGACAACAGAAAACTCTCTCTTGCTGTCAGGGCTGGCTTTCACAATGGTCACACTGCTAATTCTGCTCCCTACAGGTCCGGAGGGGGGCGCTGGACTGGAAGGCGACAGAAGCAAACTGGTGGGTCTGTCTTCAGAGAGCTGACATCCCTCAACAGGTGAGAGTTTAGCTTTTTTCAGAATCCCAGCCCTCTTTGTTTCTTTCTTCTCTTCTGTAATGGGGATACTGGCTTCTTCTTGCTCTTGTTCCCTCAAAGGTAAGAGGCTTGAAACCATATCACCTCTGGTTGTAGACGTTACTGATGCCACGCTTCCTGACTTCAACGCCAGGCGAGGTGAACGTTCAGAGGACTCGTTTGAGTAAGCAGGAGAAGAGGGGGTTCTTGGTGATACTGGTGTGGCGTCTAATGTGAGGCCGGCCGTAAAACCAGGTGAAGGAGTTCTGACTTGTAATGGACTAGCACTTATTCCAAAGGGTGAGGATGTAGCCCGGCCTGATGGGAGTTTGGGGCTTGGAGTAAGAATAGGGGAAAAGCCAGTTTGTGTATCCCCCAATGATGTATTTCTTGCACCTAGGTTGGGGCTTGGTGTGATCACCAGAGGTGAGGTAGGTGTTTTTAAAGAAGAAAATGAAGATTGGGACCTTGTTGGGTAAGAAGATGGAGGGGATGACCCTAGGCTTATTAAAACAAGGTTAGCACCATAACCTGGGTCAAGATCCGGGCTGGAGCTCCGGTCAGGAGGAGTTTGGGTTACTGGATAATCTGTGTTAGGATAGGATTCAGGGTGATGAGTAGGAATCAAACATCCATACATGGGGGCGATGGGTGTGGAGGTCTGTATAGGCCCAGGGTCAAATCCTTCTTCATATTTTAATGCCTTCTCTCCGAGGTCTGTTGGTTTCTCTGCTATCTTAAATGTCTGTCCAGACGAAGCAGGATATACAACAGTAAGAGAGTTTGGGGTGGACTCTGTGATATTCCCAACAGAAGGTTTTATCCGGGGATTCATACCAGTTTCAGGAGAGGGTCGTTGTTTAGAGTCGTTGCCCTGTTTCTGACTTTGCAAAGCAGGAGAATCTTCTGGACCTGAAGTTTTAGCCTCACGTTTTTGGGCAGCAGGGATTTGATTCTTTGATGGTTCGGTTTTAGGTTTGTTTCCAGGTTTAGTACCAGGTTCAGAGAGTCCTTTAGTGTCCTCTCCCTGCAACATTTCCTCCAGCACCACAGGTTGTTGCTTAATAGCAAATCTAACACCTCCGGGCTCCCTTCCCATCCCCTCTCCTGTTTTAACAACAGGGTCGCTTCCCCGCCTCAGCCCAAATATGGTTAAACTCTTCCTGCGTTTCCCTATAGCCGGAGCAACCCCATTGGTGTTCTCTGAAGGCGGTCGGACATCCTTGAACATGCTTCTCAGATTGTACCCGCCCTCCTTCCTCTCGTCGCTATCCTGGGATTGGTCCAGTTGGTCTCCTGAACTAACCATTGGATTTGGACCTCCATGGAGCTTCTTATCGGTGTGAATAACTCTGAACCTAAAATGATTAAGATACAGTCAAGGTGAAATGATTCTGCTTCTTTCTGTCACTGCAATCGTGGTATAATCGTGTTTTGTTACCTGCCAACGGAGAAGACGGTCTGCTCTCCAGGTCGTTGTTTCAATCGGGGAGTTCGGCTTTGTCTTCGTCCCTTTTTAGATTTGACCTGGGCGCAGAGGTGGCACGAGTTGTGGTCGCTTCCTGAGTGGACTGTGTGGAGATGGGGAGGAACGCCACCAATCGACTCCTTACGCAACCTGCACATAAACATTTTCATTGTCTAAACACTGAAAATAGTTTTTATGAAAGAAGTTTGAGAGTAGTAATTCATTTGAGCATTGGAAGGTGCTTGTGGCCTAATGAAAGGATAAGCACACATTGAAGACAACCTTCATCCCAATTATGTTCCTATCCCCGACTGATTACATAACCTAATCCATGGCCCTTAGTTTCCAATCAAAACAGCATTGCCACATTCAATAGACCCAGGCTGTGTTGATGTGCGCTCCAGGTAGTAACAATGCCAATACAACCTACCCCACATGGCCACTTCTGGCCCCCAGAACTCAACTGTGTTGTTGATAAATCCTATGCAGGTTTCTGCTATGACCGTCTGGACGAGCTTACCTGGGGTCATGGCGCACACAGATGTTGTGCTTTCCTATCATTTCATTGAAGGCTTCCATGTTAGCTGGAAGTGACAAGAGGAAGAAGTCATATTAAAGTATCAGAGTTAAGCACTGTTTGATGGATTTTCTGAAATAAACTGATCTGATGGGTGAGAATTAATTTGCATGTTGCTGAAAATGGGCATGAAAAAGGTACAATCTAGTATGTTTAATAATATATCAACAGCTGTTATTTTGAAGTATCCATTATGTGTATTAACTTAACTAATGATTCAAAGAACAGAAAAGTTCATTAGATCAAAGTTTCTACACTTTCTGAATACAGTTCAATGTGTTTATATTTGTCACCTTCGTTTTCAATGATGCATTTGAGGATCTGCTCCACTGTATCCTGATTCTCTTCATCATCGTCTGGAACACAGACAAAATAATCACATTAAAGCCACACCTTTTTCAATAATGCAGAGAAACATTTCCCTCAAACTGTGTCTCCGTTTGAGTAGCCATAGTACAGATGGTAGAAAGATGTCCACATAAAACATGTTTACAGTCACATCTGGGCCATGGTGTTTAAAAGATTTTAAGCGAATAGAATAAATACAGATTTGGTCATTTTATGAAATTGCTTCCAAACTTGTATGGATTTGGCGCCCCCTGTGGACAAAGTATGTAATGTGGAGACCCCTGTAAAGCACCGGTTATCTGGATTTAGTAATTCTTAAAGGCTGTACCTGGATCAGGGTGGTCTTATCCTTTTTGTTTTATAATAAACAGGATCAAAGTGAGCTGGATTATGTCATCTTTAGAAAAAAAGTGGATTATCCAATTCAGATTATTGGTCTTTTGTTTGTATTTAAAAGATAGAGCAGGAACTAAAATGTATCCTGAGACGCATTATCCTTTGTGATGAACATACAAAATCAGGTCAACGTTTACCAATGCAAAGGTTTAAAATTCCTCCAGTGATTCTTTACGTATATTTATGGTTGTTTGGATATCTATATACGGAAATGGAGATATTTCATGCATGCAATATTTTCTAGGACCCCTTCCTGCTTGGTAATTCCAATGCTTTTCAAACCTCCTGTAATGTTTCTGTTATAAATTTGTATTTTCAAACCTTGGATAACCCATGTTTTTGTTGTTGTTGTTGTTATTGACATTTTACATTAAAACCTCCAAAGTCCAGGAAAGATTACTCAGTTGTTCTTAAACTCACCGTCTGCATTTACTCCCAGCTTCTCCTCCTCCTCCTCCTCCTCCTCGTCCATGTCCCCGGTGCGGCAGCGGTAGCCCTTCTTCTTCAGCAGGTGGCAGATGAGGAAGCCCAGCAGTCCGGTGAGGAAGAAGAGGAAGACCACCACAAAGATAATATAGGGAGGGGGATTGTCCCCCACCCCCGAAGCTTCTAACTCACTCATAATGTGGGTTCAACCTGAGATGTGAAAACAGAGAAAAGAGGGACTGCTTTTTAATACCTTTATAATACTGAATACATCAACTGTTTCATCTATAAAATAAAGCCCACAAATAAACCTTTAAACAAATAAAATAATAAGTAGGTAGGTAGGTAGGTAGGTAGGTAGGTAGGTAGGTAGGTAGGTAAGTAGGGAGAGGACCAGCATGCACCTGGGTGGGCCTATATGTTTATTTGTTTTAATCCAGTACAAGAGAAGCAGTAGGTTTGATATGACCCAAGATTTGATTTAGTTATTTTCAGACAAAAAGCCAGTAGAATATATTTATGTATCTTTACCTTTAGGCCGACAGCTAACCGTAACAATCAACCACTTCCTAGTCAGTTTAACACGGTTCTTATCTGCTAGTGCAGCACTATCAAACTGTGACAGTAGCTGCAAAGAAGGTGACTGCTAACGTCAGCTGAGGCCCGAGCATGTTTTTGAAGGAAGATATCTTTAAAACCAAAGTGGAATAAATTGCTAACAATGAAAAAAAAAACAGCTTTAGCAGCTTTAGCAGCCAATTATTGGAGACACAAAGACTTTACTGCTCAAACTAACTTACATGACTGTCACTCATTTTTTTATCTTTCTGTTTTTGTTTTTCCTTATTTATATTTGATACATGGAGAGTTATTAGTTTAATAAGCTTACAATTAATTTAAGCCAATAACTCTACAATAAGCTTAATTATACATTGTAGTATACATTGTAAAGAAAGAGCTTGTTGGTCATTAGTGGATTTTGAGTTGGATTTTAAATATGGATGGAGTCACAGATGGGAAAAACTGCGGAAAAAAACCCTAAATGCAAAAGATAATTCCATTAAAAACGTCTTTTCATGCAGCACTGCATCAAAATGTTACAATATAAACCCTCCTCAAAGACATTTGCAGACATATGAACAATGTGTGATCTTTACTTATTTCTAATAAAGTTTTGTTCTCCACCAAGTTCTGCCAAAATAAAACTCCTCATGAAGGTTTGCTGCAAACATTAGGCTGGACATATTTGAAATCTTATTTTAATGTTGGTCTACATACATTAAAAAGCTTAACTTTGACCCCAGCTATTATCTTTCCTTTAAATGCACACGCCTGGAAAAACACATAAAAGTCGTTCTTACCATTCAGCTGGCTTAATAAGAAGATACATCCAAACATGGAAATCTGAGAATATTCACGATAATAGAAACAAACCTTTGGTAGAAAAACAGTAAAAACATGTGCTCGATAACAAGCTGCACTAGAGGACAGTGTGTGCCCCTCCTGTTCAGTCGGGGTTTCCCTCAGCCCCTCCTTTACTGATTATCTATAGAGGGGTGAACGCACAGAAAGTGAGAAAAAAGATAAATAAATTAAACAAGAACTTTATCGTCATCAGTAAACTGTTTTTAAACAAATCACATTCACACGTCAAGAAGTTTATAAAAATGATGTAATTTTTAGTTTTAACGTCTGATCTCCAGTTCTGTTAACTGTACTACATAGTGCATTGATAAATCATATATTCATTTACATGAAACTGCTGTCAGTTAACTAGTTAATCACAATTAATTAGGTCTAAAATGAATGCATTAAATGTTTTAATTACAATTAATCACATGCCATCTTGTCCCTTTGGATAAGTTAACATAACCTCCAATCAACCAGAAGGTCCTTACTTTATTTCAAAATAAAAGCAGTGTTGAATTCAAACAGCAAGTAAATTACTCTCAGCTTAAGACAGTACAAAGATTCCAAATTTAAGCCAAACTATTTTTATTTTAAAATGCAAAATAATCACGATTAAACATTTTCTTTATCGTTTGACGGGCCGACTAAATAATAAAAAAAAGGTGATGTAATTTGTAATAGTGAATGTGTAAATAAACCAACACACACACACACACACACACACACACACACACACACACACACACACACACACACACACACACACACACACACACAGCGTAAACATTCAGCAACTTATCAGAGGGGTCCTCCTGCTGCTTATCAGCATATTTAAACGCCCCTTAAACACACACACACACACACACACACACACACACACACACACACACACACACACACACACACAATCATCAGAACTTGTTGAGGCTCCTGCGTTGCTGTGTGCAGCAGATTATCAGAGTAGAGGAGGAACGGTGAGAGGAAACGTAACATCCACTAACACCAAAGTCATTGAACTTTCCATAGCCGTGAGTGTGTGCTTCAAACTGACACATGAATGTGTTCTGTATGTGGACTGTTTTATCTGAACGTTAAATGTGTGTTTTGGTTAGAGGAAGGGCCGGGACATCAACGTCAATATGACTGCCCCTCCAGCCAATTACTACTGACTCCAAATGCGCTGACATAGAGGTATTAACACTTAATCTCAGTGTGCAGCTTCACAAATTCACCAGCACAACTTTAAAGTCGACTGAGAGCTCATCAAATCTGGAGGATTTTGCGCAAATGAACCCTTTGCATTTACTACAAGCATTTTGGACAATCAGTTGTAAATGTTTTCTACCCTACAACAAGGCTTAATACAGAGGAGAATTTGTACAAGTTTGAATGAACCCAAAGTCTCAGACATATGCCTATATGACTAGATTTATTCAGTCAAATAGCATTTCATTTGAGTATCGTTGATACTTTCTGGCCGTCACTAGCATAGGGTGCTATATGGATTATAACAAGTGTCATCACTTTCCACACTGACAAGTGGTGATGCACGTACATGCACCGTTACTTTCCAGTTGAGTGACCATCTTTTCTTCACTGTATATCTTTTCCATAAGTGTTTGATAACTGCATCTTAGGAATCAATGGAAATAAATGTGTATTTCCATATCTATCGCTACAGATCTTAGAAAGACATCGGCCAATATATCAGTATCAGATTTCTTTTCTTTCTAATAGAGATATCGGCCCCAAATATCCCATATCGGTCGGGCCCTAGTGTAAACATATTCACCCTCACCATGACAACAAGTTGTCCACAGTTTGAATTCTCTTATCTCACCCTGACAAAAACCTTCACCTCCTCTTCTCTTTATTATTTCAGCCTAGCTCATGAAAGCTTCACGGTCATGTTGCTGTCACATCATTTTCCTCAAGACTCCTAATGTAAAGTTTCCACGCCATGAACCATCACATGTTCAGTTCAGTCAGTGTTCAGAGATCCTGCTGCCACTGTCAAACGCAGCAAAACCATTTCCTGTTTTCTTTGAGAGCGCAAGGGGTCATTCAGTGTTCCCATCTTGAGTTAGACTTTAGAAATTGCGGTATAAACATGGCGGATGCCTTCATTTTTTTTCATTTGTACATGAAAATCACTGATGCTCAGACAGCAGAACTGCATAAACTGGGATCATGTAGAAAGGCCAAAAGAAAAAAAAAAACACTCATCCTTTGCAGCAAGAAATACACCAGGACCTGGAAAGGAGAAGACTTTACTACTTTGTAATTGGAGTGAACTTACGTCAATGAGGGAGCAGGAGATGGAGGAAGATGAATGTAAAGAAGAAGGAAGTGGGGGGGGGGGGGGGACTGAAAGATTGCCTCTGGTGAAATGTTTTTTCTCTTTCCTGAAATATTTGTGCATTTGACCTTCAAGGCCACCGTAGAAAAGCATTTTATATCATTAATGTATTGCTCAGACTAAACTGGATGGACCAACTTTTATTGCCTCATCAATTTACCACCAGACCAAACACGAGTCCATTAGAGTTTTTGACGGGTCAAACAAGCCGACGAGGAATTTTATTCCAAACAAACCTTTAAAAGCTGCTTCCAAAAAGATTGAAACTACAAAATCGGGATTAAATCACTTTTTATGCATCTGGTTGAGCAAAGTATATACGCAGGTAAAGACGTAGTTCGAAAAAGAAACGTGATGCTCAGAGGAAGGTGGTACCTTAAACACACACGCGCACGCACACACACACACACACACACACACACACACACACACACACACACACACACACACACACACACACACCACTGAACGAAGCAGAGATGACTCAGCATCTTTATGACCTAGACTGAATCACCTCGTGTGTGTGTGTGTGTGTGTGTGTGTGTGTGTGTGTGTGTGTGTGTGTGTGTGTGTGTGTGTGTGTGTGTGTGTGTGTGTGTGTGTGTGTGCAGGGGGTGGGTGTGCTTGGATGAACCAGTCATAACATCAGAGAGCTGTGACATCACAGGGGATCTTTAATAGTTTACCTGCGTCATGACAGGAAGGAGAATGTTTTTATGATGGACATTATTTTGATGCAGTGATGCTCCGTCTGAAAAGTTGATTCCACTGCACCATTCTAGTCTTTATGAGTCAAGATGTAACACTATGTAAGTAAGAAAAGTCATTGTCAGAGCTATTGAGCTATTTCATTAAATTCCAGGATGTTCCCTCGGTTAGCCCGACAACCTTTGTGTGCCAGACAAAGGGTGAACTATGATTAGCACCAGGACTATTAATAGAAGGACGACAACCTATTTCTGCGGATTCATTCTCCAGGAGGATCTGTCCGTCCTCTCAGCGAGCAGCTGATGCAGGCTGTATGGATAACAACAACAACAACCTGCCACTCGCTTTCCACACCACAACTTACAACTAGTTATGAAAACTATCTTTGTATCTACTATCTCAATTAGTTAGTACATCTCAGTTCATGACACTCCACAAGTAAAACTTACTTGAATCATTAACAGGTGTTTTTATTTATCACAAGCAATTCAAACTCTATTCATGTTGGTGAATAAGATATTTATCTGTCGGGTGAATTTGGCTTAAATAAGTGTAATGAGATGTTTATGACTAGAAATTAGACAAATACACATGGTTATAGGCTGGCTACGCACAGATTATTTAAGGCCCAATTCTGAGCCCAATTTGGCCCTGCAGCCCCAAATGATGTAGCCTGAGTGAGGATATCCTGTCTCACCCTAACTTTCATTCAGCCTAACGACAGGCTGAGAGCTGGAGCTGTGGTGGGGTTTAAACCTCTTGACAAACCTCTATGGTCTCGTCCGTCAATCAGGGCAGCTAATACATGCCTAACTATGGATATCACATGTCCTTTATGTTTACATCAAGTTACCAGTGGATAACATGTTGGACCTTCATGCAGATAATGAAGCTGCTTCATACTCTTTTCCACTTGTCTCTCTTTACTGTGAAAACAACTTGTCAACGACATGTTAAAACTTATCTTGCCTCCCAAGATATTTCCAGGTGTTTTCCTCCCAACGTTTAACTTTGAAATATATCTGTCTAAAAATAAATCAATCCACAACCAAACTCCAAGGATATTTATCAATCATGGAGCATGAACTAATGTCGGCCTTTTCCTCTTCACTGTGGTAATCTCTAAAGATTCAAGTTCTTCCCTCTCTCGCAGAGCTTAGCACTTGATTTCTAGTCACTCCATTTCCAATTGTAAGAGTTGTAATTGATTTCTATTGTTTTTTATTCTTGAGTATATGTGGGTGTGTTTTTGTTTTTGCTTGTTTTTAATTTGCTTGTAATCTTGACAGCATTGGAGATGAGGGAAACCTCAGTGTCTTTTCAACAATAAATACAGGTTTCAAATGAAATGAAGTGAAATGCATGATTGGTTTATCCTTCACACAAAAGAGGCTGCAGCCTACAGACGTCCCCTGATCAGGAATAAGAAGTTTTGATAGGAGGGGTATATGTATAAGAATCCTTAAATAGACGACCATTAAATTATGATTTCGTGTCCTCGACAAATGTAAACTTATCTACATTTTTGTGTCTGAGACTTCAACATACAATGCAAATGTGGCTAAATAAATTATGTAGATGACCTGACCTTCTTTTATTGATCTCTTTCCCCCCTCAATAATTCATACATTTTATCTCACAGCAAGCAAGCATGTTCATGTCAGGTATTCAAATAAACAGCTAAGCCACAGACCTCATGAGGTTCAACATTTACCCAGCAGGTTTGTGCAAACTTTTGTGGAGTAGAGCTCAACTAATAAGAAAAACATTTTCAGTCAATTTAGATTTTTCTAAATTATTTTTGACCACTGAAGAATAACATGGAATACAGGGTTGAGCCAGGGTCTGCTGCACTGAAACCTGGAGCATGTCCTCTGATTTTGGGGCAGCATCACTTGAGCAAAAATTATGATTTAACAAAACCAACCAATTATTATTTTAACAGCTGTGACAGTTATAAAGTGAAATGAAATACAAGATTGTAATAACTAGCACAAAGGTGTAAACAGGACATTCAAATGATGCTGAAATATGGTAAAAATGTGGACATATTTGGCTGATTATCTTGAATAGAGGTTCAAATAGTTGAGGAATAGATAAACAATTACAACAGTCAGCTAAAACATCTGAAACTCTGCAAAGTTTTGGTTTAGACGTGAATTGATCAACGATGGTTCAGCTTTAGATAATCACAAGTTAAAGTGATACATAAATTAATGAACTAGTCTGCATGTACGAGTCTACATTAGTATTATAATGAGCGCCATCTGATTAATATTTGACGAACTTCCTGAGAGAAAGATGGGAACCCTCCTCTTCATTCCGGACCAGAACACATTCGTGCCAGAGTCTGGGATTTAATCCCAAAAGAGTCTAAAATAAATTTCACAACCTCATCCGGAGGTCTATTTTTGGAGTTCTACAATGGGAACCACCGCAGGACCAGCGTCGGAGGATTTATTGTTGTGCGTAAGATTTTCAGCCTCCCATCGGCGTTCAGGCGAATCACTCGCACCAGACTTCACTCGAAAAAATGTCTCTTTCTGCCTCTGCTGTTTTTTTTTAAACACGTCAAATCTGTCACGAAAATATATGAATACATTAATGCAATCACATTTCTATGCTCTTCCTTTCGGCTCACACAAAATCCATCAATAATTGTATCCTTGTTTAATTTACCTTACCTTTATCAAGCTGTGGCCGCAGCTGAGGTGCGGTTGATCTTGGCGGAAGACCTCTAGCACGCGAAACATTTTTTAAGTTTTAAACACTACGATAAGTAAATATTGGTGCATCAAATGAGGCCGAATTATCCAGTCGACTTCAGATTTTCCTCAAATAGCTTAATTTTTATTCTGCTGAGTAGGTTTACACTCTGATAAGCCAGAAAGCCTCAAATACAAGATTTTCCTATGAAGTCTGGCCAGTCATTTCTTATTGAGGGACATCCCGCATACTGTGCCATTAGCCTACAGTAACGCTGAATCACTGCATCAGCATCCCCACCCAGTCAATGACACCCAAACCACATCGTCATCTCCGTGGGCACACTGGGACCCACTTAGGGGGGGTCCATCCACTGAGCCCGCACCGAGCACACACACACTTTATCTGCATCCTCAAGGTTAAATACTAAATGAGTCAGACGGAACGCCTCAGAGACATTTAGACAGCAATACAGCCGAGTTGGATATTCACCTTAGGTCAGGAAGAGTGTAGCAGCCCGGTCCTCTCCGGTGGTCCTGCGGGTGGGCTGATGCGTTCCCATGGCTGCAGTCTGCTCCGTGTCCTCTGGCCGGAGCGTGAGGAGGCGTCGGTCTGCTGAGTAGGGCAGAATGACAGGAAGCTGGGAGGCATCTGTCTGTCTGCGGCATTGGCTGCCTCTGCTGCAGGTTTGAGTTTAACCTTCGTTCATCCAGAGAGAGACAGCGGAGCTCCACGCTGCTTCACCTGCACTGAAACATGCTGCGCACATCTGTTTTATTTATAGGCTTCAACCTCCGCCCATCGCACGGCACAAAGAGTAGCCTCCAATTTACAGGACGTGTAACCAATCATCAAAATCTCTAAATGATAATACTGTGCAGGTCTACAAGTCAATAATAGACCTTAATAAAGTGAACTTTGCTCCTAAACTCTTGGGTTATTTGTTGATTTGAAAAATGATCAGAATTAAATGGTTTCACTGATTGAGTGCAAAAGGTGCATTGCATACACTGGGTGCTTTCAGGTCATTTGAACAGCCAAAATATCACAACACAACACAACACAATGAGAGGGTCGATTGGAAAGATTTGCCTCCACTGTGTATCTGTTCTGTTTTTAATGTAGACTATTCTTTTCTCTCTTAAAGTGATCTGTATATATCATGCACCTTCAAATGCATGATGGTTCCCAAAGTGGGGCCTTCAAGACCTTTAAGGGGGGGGGTCAATATAAAGATAATGCTGCCAGCAAAGCCAGGTAAATGTTTATGGTGGATAGAGCAGACGTCACAACTGCTGAAAAAAAGAAGAAGAAGAAAGAAGAAAATATGACGAGTCATATTCCTCCCTCAGCGTCACCTAACTGGCAATGAAGAGAGCCTTCCTTCCTTTTGCGTACTTTTGCCACATCCTACATATGTGAGATAAGTACTGCTGTTCCCTCAATCAACACACAACACAGATCAAAGCGGAACATTGAAAATAAAGTAAGAGTGACAGTCTCACAGCTGCACGCTGAAATCATTGCAGGACTGGAAGTTTAAATATTAAAGAAGATTTTTATTTTTTTATTTTAAGGGATTTGAAGAGTCAGGTTTTCAAAAAAACAGTTTAAAGCAATGACTGTTGTTTGATCTTAAAGATTGTGAATCTTCATGTTGCAGTATCACTTTTTATTTCTTCTTTTTTACAGTTTGTTCTCACACTGAAGTTACTCTTACACACTTTTTGCAGACAAAGTTTGAGACCAAAATATATGAATTTGTCATCAAAGAGCTTATCTGACAGTGCATTTGGTGTATATCAATATATCTTTATGTGCCGATGTGTTTGGTGAGGGGCGCGGGGGGGCTTGCAAAGAATTGAATCTGTGAAAGTGGGTTTTGGAAACATGCGTTAACTCCTGAAGCTCAATTTTAACCATTTACCAGATGTGACCCTTTACCCTGACCTGATTTTTGAGTATAAAGTAATCAATCAAACTTGAATTATAGCAGCTTTCGGACATATTCAATTTACAAAAGTGCAGAAAGTGAGTGATGCAAGGTAGTTTGCGAAAATCATTTAAAACAAATGCACACTGATGAGAATTTAATCAAATAACAATACAATAAATATTGGCCCGCACTACCTCCCCTGCAAAGTGTCTCTTCAACCCCGGTATCTGAAGGACACAGCCGTGGACAGATGCGAAGGAGAGGGTAAGCAACAAACCTCCTCTACAACCAAATGTGGAACTACAGAACAGATATGCCCCTCTGTTGCAGAGCCCTGGATCTTCATCTGGTCCTCCATCCTCAGACACCAGGGTAAGGACTGAAAGCATATCAAAAAGTAAAAGGCTACAGGGAACGCTAAAGCCATGGCTTGAGACTCTGATTGTGGGTGACTTTGCTGTTAAAGATGTACAAAGGATGTGCGGTAAAAACACCAAAGTACTGTGTTTTCCCAGAGATATGGTTTCTGATTTAACAGAAAGAAAAGGATGTGGATGTGTTTATCAGCGGCCCCATACCACCAGTCAGAAGAGCAGAGAAAAGATTCAGCAGGTTGTTGGCACTGAATAACTGGCTTACAACTGAATGTAATGCTCATTCATTGAATTTTATTAACAGTTTTTACATTTTTCTGGAAACGCAGACATCTTTTTAAGGCAGATGGATTTTGCCTGAACATGTCAGGGGTGAAACTGTTCACCTCTAACCTATTTTACTTCCTGCGTCAACCATCAGTTATCTCTGCCAAGGACAAGAGACAAAAGAAAACAGCTCAAACCACAGCGCGATGAAAACCGTGGGCAAGAATCACATCTGCCAGTATCTGAGGAGAGTCCTTAAGAAGAGAGACATCAGAACCAAGAGGAAGGGCACCCACCTTCAACCCCCTCACCAAATTTCACCGCCCTTGCCCCTTCGAACCCCAACCAGGTCATCTTCCTCCTTGATCACCCTACCTCCCTCCTCCTCACACCTGTAGTTCTCTGACCAAATGAAGGAGCTGGTCAGTGCTGGATTAAAATGTACCCCCCGCCCTTCTCCCTTATTCTCTCCCATAAACACCACCATGGTGCCCACCTCCACCCGTTCCGACATGGGAGTCGAAGCCACGGCGCCCAGCCCCCCCTGTCCCCCCTGTGGTGCATCATGTGTTGTCTCCTCAGCTTGATAAAGATGAAATGCAGAATGTTCAGAGGTCAAACTGATGTGTTTTGGGTCCAAGGATATCAGCAGTCATGACTCTCTCCAGGATAAGCGGGGCCCTGCACGTCAGTAGGTTCCAAAATCTCTGTGCTGATAGGTAATAGGAGAACAAATGGGACTGTTCCAAGACACAAAAGGCAGTTATGATTTTGCAAACTTATCAAACTTAGCATCCATTCCTTGTGAGCCACAACCTGTCCCAAACATTTTTTAACCAATTATTATTGAGCACAACCTTGATTTTATGTTTTTAACTGAAACTTTGTTAGACCAAAATAACAGTACAGCCGTTCTTATCGAGTCAACCCCTCCCAACTTCGGTTTTGAAAGCTAGGTTCGAGTGTATAAGTTGGGGAGGAGTTGCAGTTTTGTTTAATGAATATGTGGCCCTTCAGTCCTTCCCCCCGAGCCATGTTCCTTAATATTTACAGGCCACCTAAATACTGTGCAAACTTTTTCACTGAACTGCTTTCTGTGATCTGTATTGACTTTGACTGTGTTATTATGGTTGGTGATTTTAACATCCATGTTGATAACCCCCAGGACAGAGGGACTAAAGAACTGTGTTACACTCTTGATAGCTTTGGGCTGATTCAGCATGTGACAGAGCCCACACACAACAGAGGGCACACTCTGGACTTAATCATCTCCAAGGGCTTGGACATCTCTAAGGTTGTTGTTTCAGATGTTGCCCTCTCTGATCACTCCTGTGTTTTATTTGAGAGTACTATCTCAGTGTACAAAAGTATTCAAACAAAAGTGATCACAAAACGGTGTATCACTGAAAACACCAGTGAAATCTTTAACCATGCACACCTGCTCTGTCCTGGGGCTCAGTCAGAGAGTTGGTAGATAACTTTAATTCTAAAATCACAAATGTTATTGATTCCATTGCTCCCAATAAGGTGAAGGTTGTCTCTGGTAAGAAAAAATCTCCATGGAGAAATTCAACACTGGTAAGAAATGGAAAAAGAGATTGTCGAAAAGCTGAACGCAGGTGGCGTAAAACTAATCTCCAGATTCATTATGACATCTACAAAGACACTTCACATTTATAATTCACAACTGAGGAATGCAAGGCAATCTTTCTTCTCTGACATCATCACCAGAAACAATAATAATGCTCATGCCTTGTTTGCTACTGTCGACAGGCTAAGACACTGTCCTGTGTCAGTACCACCTGAACTTCAGGCCTGAAATAAATTTTCCACCTTATTTACTGAAAAAATCCAGAAAATTAGACAAACTCTCAGTACCTCAACATCAGGATCAGGATATGTTATGTGTCCATTCAAATCCAATTCAGACACCATGACAGAATTTAATCAAATCAACCTTAAAAACCTGGAGGATATTATACAACAATTAAATTCCTCCTCTTGCTGTCTTGATATTCTGCAAACAGGTTTTTTCAAAAAAGTCTCTCAAGTCATGGCTCCAGATCTGTTACAAACTGTAAACTTGTATATTTCAGGTGTCTTCCCACAGACCCTGAAGACAGCCGCCATCAAGCCACTATTAAAAAAGAACAATCTAGACAAGTCAATAATGAACAATTACAGGCCTATACCAAAACTTCCTTTTTTAGGTAAAATTATCGAAAAAGCTGTTTTTCAACAGTTAAAAAACTTCTCAACATTGAACAACTGTTTCGATGTCTTACAGTCAGGTTTTCGACAAAATCACAGCACTGAGACAGCCCTGGTTGAGGTGTTTAATGACATACATTTAAGCACAGACAGTGGCAACACAATTGACCACAAAATATTAATTGACCGAATGGAAAACTTGGTGGGGGTTTCTGGCACAGTACTAAACTGGTTTGAATCCTACTTAAAGACAGGGACTTCTTCGTGTCTGTAGTTAACTTCAAATCTGAGCAAACAAAATTACTTGTGGTGTTCCCCAAGGTTCCATCCTGGGGCCTCTTCTGTTTAACATCTACATGCTCCCTCTAGCTTAGATTATATTTTAAAAAATGCAGACGACTACGCAGACAACACACAGATCTATATACAATGTCGCCAGGTGACCATGGTCCCATACAAGCACTGGGTAAATGCATATAATAAATCAAAGAGTGGATGTGCAAACATTTCCTACAGTTAAACAAAGACAAAACTGAGGTTGTTGTTTTTGGAACAAAAAGAAATGACTAAGAGTCAGCACGCAGCTACAGTCAGTAAGATTGAAAACCACAGACAAGGCAAGAAATCTGGGTGTAGTGATGGACTCAGACCTAAATGTTAAAAGCTGCATTGAGACAATTACAAAGTCAGCCTATCACTTGAAGAATATATAAAGAATTAAAGGGACTAATATGACTTACAGGTCTGCCTAAAACATCAGTCAGACAATTGCAGCTGATCCAGAACGCTGCTGCTAGAGTCCTCACCAAGACCAAGAAAATGGATTACATCACTCCAGTTCTGAGTTCTTTACACTGGCTCCAAGTCTGTAATAGAAAAGATTTTAAAATACTGCTGCTGATTTATAAAGAGCTGAATGGTTAAGGGCCAAAATACATTGGTGACCTTCTGATTAATTAC